ATGAACCCTCTTATCGTTATAAAAGGGGGCTTGAGGCGGCATTGAATGCCGGCGTAAGCAACATTGCTGTTTTTGGATCGACCACAGAGTCTTTTTCGATGAAGAACCTTAATTGCTCCATTTCGGCTAGCATGCAGGCCTTTGAGGATATCATTTTCGAGGCAAAAACGAGAAACCCCAACATAACGATAAGAGGGTTCATTTTCCATTGCTACGCTGACCTTTAGTTACTTGTCCTGTGTTTTGGGCTGTCCTTATGAAGGACTGGAAATCGATCCAAAAAGAGTTGCCTGTTTAGCAAAGCAATACATAGACATGGGATGCTCTGAAGTATCCCTTGGGGATACAATAGGAGCTGGAACCCCCCGTAATTTGAAAAGATCCTATTTTGTATTAGAGCGATCGGAGCAATTAATTGAGGCAGTTTCTAATCAAATAGCCCTTCCTAAAATTGCTATGCACTTTCACAACACATATGGGCAGGCCCTTGCAAACATATGGGCATCGCTAAAAGTACACCTTTGCACATAAACATAGGCTGGAATACGCATCTTTGATTGCTCCATTGCCGGATTAGGTTAGCTAACTTGATTAACGCCATCAAAGGAGGCTGTCCCTATGCAAAATCTGCAACCGGAAACGTGGCAACTGAAGACGTTGTATATATGCTTCAAGGAACAAAATACGATCCAGGCGTCGATTTGGATAAGCTCAAGATCGCAAGCGATTACATTCTGCATCAATTGGGTATTTTCCATCCACCATGGCTTATTATATGGTAGGGCAGCGAGAGTCTGGATCGTTCGTCGGTCGAATAATGGGAAACAAAAGGCTGCATAAATAGTGACGGCCATTTATTAATTGACAATAAAACCTTTCAATGTGCGTGAAACACATCCCGTTAGCGCTTGATTGCTGATAAATTTCGCAATTGAGAGGTGACTTGGCCCTATAAATTGGGGGCTTGGCGCAGATCGACCGACACACGCATACACATGATATTCAAAACAATCCTCGCTTCCTCTCTCTTACTCTCAGCCTTGGGCCAGGTGTGCTTGGCCGATGGCACCATCCACGAAAGTTCGGATGTCGATACTGCTTCTGCGCCCGGAAACGTTGCAGGTGCCGATGATTTTAGACTGAAAGTTGAAGAGCGAGAGCGAGAGGGTTTCCGTCGTCCTTATCGCGAAAGAAGAGGCTGCGATGGTTTTGACGGTCCATACAGATCGCGAAGCCGCGCCCTTGAGCTTGAAGCCACAGGAGGCTACCACCACCGTCACCATCATCACCATGGTAGAAGATATTACGAGGAACCATATCGCCACCGCGAGAGATACTATGGCTACTATTACTAACATTTACGGCCGAGAGTTTTATTCATCCTTAGCCGTCTAATAAAAACTTGCAATTTATTTACAAAAAGTACACTTTTGAAGCTACTAAATTTTCAAATGACAGCGCTTCTTGATGTGAAAAACTTTATCATCATCAATGTTCTGACCGATTTCCTCAAGTAGGTGCTGTTGGTAATCTTTAGAAATGCAAAGGATTCGCTGCTGAATTCTCTGCCGCTTTTGCCTATAAGCCATGCGTTCTGTGACTTTGATCAGGTCATGTATCAGTTGAATGCAGAGGAAAAGGCCAACAACATATCCATTTTGGTGTCTATTTCTGCACCGTGCGTTGAGCAGCTGAATAAGCTTTTTTCCATCCCTGCAGAGATGAAAAAGTTTTATCCGCACGCCAGCGACATTTCACTGGACCCGATAAGCTTTTCGTTGTCTTTAAATTTTGAGCTCGATCTGGATGCCGACAATGCTAAGGCTATTGAGAACATATCTTTATTGAAAAGAAATCTGTTTTCCATCCCCTTTTACCATGCGATCTCATTGCAAGAGTCTGATTGCCAGAACAGCCAAAAGCCATTTATGTTTGCATATCGTCCAGACGAATATGTTTTTATCAAGCCATATTCTGATCGAATTGTTGCAATCTTCCAGCTGAGGTTTAAGGGAAACGACGATACCATTATCGCAAAAGTTTTCATCCAAGTAAGCGTCGCTGCGATCACGTTATGTGTTAGGAATTTGTTGATGCCCGAAAGTTGCCCCATTTGCAAAACTCGCCTCAAATCATTTTCTCCAAATCAGCTCCCTCTGAGCTGGATAACCTGGATCCTCTGCCTTTGCAAGAATGTTCCTCTGAACAAAATGGTTACATTTCGATAGTTTTATTTCCCCGCCATTACACGAGCGGAGAGCGTAGAGAAAATGCGCTTTCCCTGATACAGACCTTTAGAAATTATTTTCACTACCACATCAAGGCATTAAAGGCCTCCATTCATACAAGAGAGAGGGCAAGGGTTGGCGATTTCATCCAGGTGCTAAATAGAGCCAAGATCGAGCCGGTTGAAAAGAAATTGACCACCATGACGGGAAGGACGTTTGTCAAGTCATCCAAATGACAATAAACCGGATTGCATTGCTTGCCTGTTTTTGGCGGGGTGCCTTTGGGAAGTGCATTTGTAATTTCGAGGGTTTTAACTATTTAATCCAAAGATCGGGGTCGTGTCCAAGCCTAAGGCGAGGGGGATAATACACGATCGACAACTCCTTCAGCGCTTCGTGCACGGCCTTCATGAACTTTGAGTGTCGATATACGCGCTTAAATCCATCCTGGAAATTAAACTTGTGGCATAGTGCAATTCCCAACCGAAAGTTCCTGCACCCAATAACCTCTACGCACTTGATCAGCGAGGAGTGGGAATTTTCGGACCCCTTTTGGATGAGATCAAGCTGGTAGTAGTCGAGTTCAAAATCCTTGCCTTCGCTCTCAATAATGGAGCGGACTTTGGATGCCAATGAGGCAATTTTTTCCGTCGGGGTGTCATAATCAATTACAATATCTATCCATTCGATCATGTTCCTTGATCGCTTAACATTTACAATGTGCTGCTCAATCAACAGGGAATTGGGTGCATAAACCAGCAGGCCGTCAACTGTTTGCAACACCGTGTAATAGATCCCAACTTCGTGAACAAAGTACGTATCTGAAAATACAAAAATCCGATCGCCCACGTCAAATGGATGCGTGATGAAGATAAAAACAATCGAATTGAACAGAACGGCCGAGGAGTTTCCAAATACAAACGAAAGACTAAAGAGGCCGCCAAGCGTAGCAAAAAGCTCCTTCACTGGCAATCCAATAACAAGCGGAGTCAGAATGATGATGATTGTAAGGATGACAAACGAGCATAAATGGTCCAGCTTTTCAACGGCACTTCCATGGTCAAGAAGGTTTTTTGAAAGCGCCTCTTTCTCAAGAGACAGCTTGAGAAGAGCAATTTTGAACTCAAGAGGAGAAATGGTTGAGTTTTCAGACAATTCAAGCAAATTGAATAGCTTTTCCTCATCTGCCGGGTTGAAAATGTTACTGAAATTTCCTCTGCTGATTTCTGCATCAAGAGGCAAATACACAAGTCGGGGAGAAGCATGTTCGGAAGAAGAGGAATAGATGGGGTATTTCCTTTTGCCTTTCGAAAGCTTATTGGGCATAAGCTTATCTTTGGAGGGGATGTAAAAATGTTCGTAAATCAGCTGTGCAGTCTTTTTTGCTGCTCCCTTGCTGTCAATTATGCCCTCAAATTGAGCGCTTTTCAGCAAAAGCTGCCGAAACTGGGAATAAGACGATATTATCGGTTCGATGGGCTCGTCTTGGCCCTCCACGGCCTTTGCCCTCATATTCCTTCTATAATATGAAGAAATCAATGCCAAAGATTTGCTCTTCGAGCTTATCTTTCGGGGCTTAGGGGTAGAGCTGTGGCAGTTTCGGTGGCAAAATCGGCCATGCTGATTTGCATCTACAGCGTGCGTTAAAAGCCTTCTAATGGCTTGAATGGCAAAGCATAAATCCATCAGACGCTCAGAATAGACTGTCAAATAGAAATCAGAAACGATCTTGGAAAAGATTATACGCTGAATGGTGATGATGGTGATTACCATTAGAACTTCATTGAGAGCCTTATTGATCATCAGGGTAGCAATGGATTTGGCCCAGTATTGTGAGGAGTAGTAAATGTAACAGTAAAACTTGAACACAACCGATATGCTTGCAATGAAGATGAACAAGAAAATCGAGTTTTTAGACATCATCACAATCTCGGAAGTTTGTGGCTTCAAAATTGAGAATACCATGGAATACTTGAAAGCACTAGCTCTTCCATTGGTGGCGCTGTTTTTTTTCAAACCATCGTCACGATTTTCTTTGGAGGCGCCAAAATAATGCTCGTGTGTGGCCTTGTATGCGATGTTGATCAAATAATTGATTAGCAACCAAAGGAAAAAGTAGAATATCAGACAAAATTGGAAAAAAAAAGCCAAGAAAGAAAACCGTTTATAAAGTTGCAAAATAGACGCGCCTTGAATCCATTCATTGTCAACTACATTTAACACCAAGGCAGGGCCTAAAAGAAAAGCCGAACATATCAGGAGCCAAAGAATCGATCTCCATTGATAATTAAAATCGGGAATGATGTTGTTGCTATCGTCCTGAGAGTAATGACGAGAAGAATATTTGGAAAATCCGGGCAGGGGGATAAAGGCCTCGCTCAAATCGCCACGTCGATTAGAAGAGGGATCGACGTAACATTCAAAAGCACCATCTAGGCTTGGTTCGAGTCCGTCATCTCCCTCCCAATCAAAAGGAATCTCGATGTCGAGGAAAGAGGGACAGGCAGCACCATTTTCCTCAAGAGAAACGGCAGATCTTTTAACGCCGTGCCCTGAACCTACAAGGGTAAACCTCCATAATCCCTACGTGAAAATATCCGCTTGCGAAGAGGCGACTTTTTAGGATTGGAGCCCCTTCCGGTCTGATGTGCTGAGCCATCCATTCACCGCAATAATTGCTCCAAACTTGTAAAAGAATTAAAATAGCACAATTTTAATTTGTGGTTTCTGGTCACAAACGGTCCAGTTATTTAATTAAATCTGAAACCCTAACCCACCGCAAGGCTTTGGATGACCTGCCAACTTGGATGTTGCTTTTGCAGCCCAATAAAATATAAAATTGCACTTTAAGTGGAGTTGATGCTGGTGTGCATCAATGCCACAAAGGACAAGATATCGGAAAGGTTTATTTGTTGTTTTGAAGCTTTTGATAGAAAGTCAGCAAGGTAGTGCTTATATTACCAAGGGCGAGCAGTAAGAATACAAGCGCCACCACAACGATCTGCCATTCTGTGGAATTGGGCATGAGCCACAATTGGTAGAGATAATAAACATTGTACAATTGAATCATGTGTCCTATTAAAAGAAAGGGGAGCAAAAAAGCCAAGTTGTTCCGAACATGCACTTGGGCAGAATCCGTTGTCACCTCCATGGGTCCGATTTTGGAGAGCGCTCTAAGCGCATACAATCTGGTCATTTGATATCTATACTGGAGGTATTGAATGGCGGCCATGTAAATGCAGCTCAACAGGAAGCATGGCCTGTAAAGAACAAAAGATTGGCCCCACGGCCAGATCAGTAAGGTTCCGGTAAGTATTATGCTGAGATAATGATGAAAGATCCACCAAATTCGAATCCTAGACCCGTTTACTTGCAAGATATGCTCCCGCAGCGTAATGGTTGCGTAAAAATACAGGGAGCAGAACGAATGGACAATGTTGATTGGAATGAAATCTATCATCCAGAGGTTTAGGATCGAAAGGACCAAGCTGAAAAGCGTCAGCTTGAGCTTAAAATTCTCATATTCGGTCTTGTATTTGAGCTTTCTAGATTCGGGCAGTCCAAACTGTGCATTTCCAAGGGACCACTTGAGCACGAGCCTAAAATCGGTTAAAGGGCAGTGCATTACGATGGCTCGTGTGGAAACATGTGCGAAAGATTTGCAAGTTCTGTTGAAATGTTTTCCGCAGTAATGAGCAGCTCATTTTTGGACTCAAAATCAGTAATTGCCTTGATATTATTGTAAAGCTCGGAGACGAGTTTTTTGTTCTTGGAAAGCTCATTTAAACAGGCAGCTTCTTCAGCATATATTTTTGACTGATTTGCTTTGAGATCATGCACCCGAGCCTAAAAATGGAAAGATTGAAAAATACCACCAATGCAGCGATCTCCTTTGTGAGCTCCTTGGCATCGACGACACATGTTTCCCACTTTGTTTGGGCGGCGTTTAGAGCCGATTGATCTGATTCTAAATAATTGTCTTGAGAGTTAGAGTGTTCCGATTCCACACCGGTAATTTCTGCTCCCGTGGAGCTAGATATATTTTTTGACATTGAGAAATAAAATTGAAAATAAATTAGAATGTGAAATGCATAAAATTTAAAATTCATTTTTTCAAAATGGAGTGTTTCCAAATTCCGGTTGAAGCTAACGATTCCACATACGTGTGCCTTGAAAATGATTTATTGAATGCCAACAAAAGAGTCTCCCTTCAAGATCGATTCAGAGCACTTTTTACGCTCAAGCATTTGGCTAATGATCGAAGCGTTGCGATCATCAGCAAGGCTTTTGCTGATAATTCAGCTCTGCTAAAGCACGAGCTTGCTTACGTTTTGGGACAAATGCGGCTAACGTCGGCCGTTCCCACGTTAATTGAGGTGCTGCAAAATAAAACCGAAAATCCTATGGTCCGCCACGAGGCTGCAGAAGCCATGGGTGCCATTGGAGACATATCCTGTCTGCCCATCTTGCATTCTTTCGCCAATGCTGAGGATGAGAATGTGTCGGTAAAAGAAACATGCTGCCTTGCCATTGATCGGCTGCAGCGGATAGGGGATCATAGCCACCCTGACCATGGCCCGCTAATATCTCCACCGGTGCTTCCATTTGCATCAATTGATCCGGCGGTGCCGTCTATTGCTTCCCCAACGATGGACGACATCCCAAAGCTAGAGGCTACACTTAATGATGAATCGGCAAGTCTTTACGACAGGTATGCTGCCATGTTTGCTTTACGAAATGCCGGAGTGATTGGAGCAACAGCTTCTTCTGAGGAGATCTCGCTTGCTGCCGTTGAGGTTCTTTGCAATTCGCTCGTGTCTGATAAGAGTTCTGCGCTGTTTAGACACGAAATTGCGTATGTTTTGGGACAACGTCAACATCCGGCATCTSTATCAGCCCTATCCACAATACTTGGGCGCATTGATGAGCTTCCAATGGTGCGTCATGAATGTGCCGAGGCCCTTGGTGCTGTTGCAACCGACGAAGCTTTAGAGGCACTTAGGCCATTTATCAACGATCCTGAGGATGTTGTCAGAGAAAGCTGTTTGATTGCACTGGATATCCTTGAATATGAACAGTCAAATACTTTACACTACGCAGATGGGCTGCTCAAGGCGGCGCAAAAGACACCCAAGGAGCTTAAGGAGGCTAGCTCCATTTTTTAAATTTTATTATTAAACATTAGTTCCATTATTGGCACTGCCATTTCCATTTTCTGGATTGATAAGGCGCTACACATTATAAACAGAATCGGGGATTACAATGAAATTTGTTCTTTGAACGTTCCAGAATTCAGAATGAGGCAGCGCGCATATTCCAGTCAGGCCATACACATTGCTATTGTAGACGTATCCCAATACTACATAAGCCAGGAAAAGGACAATAGTTCTAAAAATATAATAGGAAGCATTTTACAATAAGAGCAAATTTGAGAAAAATCCGCTTGTATCGGCGTCTGCATCGATGGACGCTGATGGCTCCCTAAAGTGGTCCAGTATTGGTAAAATTACTGAATTGGACAGACCAGCGAAGAAGATAGTGAAAAGTCTATTGTTAAATTCTCAGGCGCATCTGAAAGCACAGAAGGAATCAAATCGCTTTGATTTGTGCAAAGCAGCCGGATCCTAACGATGGTGTCAAAAGAGGGCGACGAAAACATCAAAGATTGCGAGCTTTTACTGGGCACAAGAGCAACATCTTTCAGCAAGACCGAAGAATCATCTTTGGATACGACAAAGTTTGCCAAACGATAATATCCGTGTTCGCTCTTAAAAATCAAGGGTGTTGAGCTGTTTAAGCATGTTAGGTTAAGGTAGTTGAAGTCAGAAAGTGTAACATAGTCGAGCGATGGCGAGGACAGCGCCGAATGCAAACAAAACACCGGAATGATGGCCGAAAGAGCCGCAAGAAAGGGGTAAATAATCATTTGTCCAAAATATTTTTGTGAATTTCCAATTTTAATTACAAATCATGGCTCGAAAGGATTTGGTCTCTGAAGAGGGTAAATTGGCCCTTTCACTTACGCCGCATAGGCCTCCGTCTTGATGGGCGTTCTGCAGAAGACCTTCGGAGATGGGATGGTCTGGTCGGGGTTGTATCCACAGCCGATGGAAGCGCCTATCTTTCCCAGGGCCAAACCAAGGTTCTTGTTACCATAATAGGGCCTAAAGAGGTTCGTTGTCGGTTTAATGGTCTAATTTAAGGGTGCAACAGAGTCCTCCAAATCATCCTATTTGAAGCCAAAAGTTTCGGTCAATATTTCCTGGAACACGGCCACTTTTAGCGACGCCGAGCAAAGATCCAGGCCTCGGCTGCTAAACCATCTCGTAAAAGAGGGCTCATCGGCGAGGTTTCAAGCAAAATCTGCCCCAGATAGAAGAATAATCTCCTTCATTTCAGCCATCAAAGATTGCTTGGAGAATGCAATCATAGCATCGGCTCTTCCAAATGCTCATATTGATGTCCATGTAAATGTTCTCTCTTCTGACGGCTCGGTCCTTTCCTGCGTTACAAATGCCATTTCACTTGCCCTGATGGATGCGGGCCTTCCAATGTTAGATGTCATTTGCGCCGTTAGTGTGGGGCTGGCAACCCTTCCCTCTGCATCTACGATGACTGCAGGCAAGGCAGGGCAAGCTCAGCAGCTATTGGCGAGGGAATACTTACCTATTGTAGATATTTCAGGGCAGGAAGAGCTTGGATATATGCTGCCGGTTTTGACATGTGCATTTTTGCCGAGGAAAAATGAAATGGCCTTTTGCCACTTGGAGTCAAGAATCTCGCTCTCCGAACTCGCTCAGATGACTCAAGCTGCCGAAAAGGCCGCTTCAGAGATCCAGATCCGATTGAAGGAAATTGTGATCAAGCGATACTCATAAATTATCTTGGGATTAACTTGAGATATTCGTTTAACTGAGTACACAGTATGACATTTAGATCTAGTGTCATTCATGCTCGATTACGGATAAATTTCGCAATTGAGAGATGACTTGGCCCTATAAATTGGGGCTTTCCACGGATCGAGACGTACACGGACGCACACGCACACACACACACACACACATGATATTCAAAACAATCCTCGCTTCCTCTCTATTGCTCTCCGTTTTAGGTCAGGTATGCTTGGCCGATGGCAGTATCCACGAAAATTCAGATCCCGATACTGCTTCTGCATGCGGAAGCGTGGCACACGCTGGTAAGATCAAGTTGGGTGCCAAGGAACGAGAGCGAGAAGATCCACGTTGCCCTTACCGCGAAAGAAGAGGCTGCACTGGCCGTGGCGCCAAAGGCTACGATCAGTTTGACGGCCCATATGGGGCTAGAGATCGCGACGATTTTGATGGTCCATATGGGGCTAGGGAGCGCGACGATTTTGATGGTCCATATGGGGCTAGGGAGCGCGACGATTTTGACGGCACATATGGAGCTAGGGAACGAGGCCGATTTGATATTGAAGCTATACGAGGCTATCATGACGACCCTTCTCGGCCTGATCGCGATCACCACCACGATATGGAATCTTATGATGACCCGTATCGCTATCGCGAGAGAGATTATGGATATTACTATTAGAATAAACATATCATTGCAACGATACAATTTATTCAATACAAGTGGGTTGCTAAAATCCCAAAAAGGACTTCTTTTTAGACTGTTTAGGAAATTGACGCGGGTTGGGGAGAACTTTTGGAAAGGTCAAATTTATGGTCGATAGATTAAAAGACGACCCTCCGATTTCCATGGCAGAAAATCTTTCCATCGTGGCTGATGTATCTCTTGACGGTTCTTTATATTCCGAAGAAAATGCATGTGCTGCCGATCTGGATGGAGGTAATGACTGTGTTGTGACGTTGGAAATTGAAGCTAAGGGCTGACTTCTTCCAAGATGAGATGAGTTGAAGGTTGAAGGGCCATGCTTTTCGGGCAACATGGGAGGTGGCTGTGGTATTGAATCAGAAAGAGGTTTAACTGGAGATGTGCTTGGCATTCTGGGTGGAGCGGGGGCCATGCTTGGCATTCTGGGTGGAGCGGGGGCCATGCTTGGTATCTTGGGTGGAGCGGGGGCCATGCTTGGCATCTTGGGTGGAGCAGGGGGTGGAGGCTGCGAAGGCATTTTCTTTTCCATTTTAGGCAATACTTTCGAAGTTTCAGACCCGACTTTACGAAGGGTTGGCATTCCGCCTTGGAATAGTCCGCCAAGAGAAACAGGTGGGTGGTCTTCAATGATACTGTTTCCAGCAGAAGCTATGCTGCTGGAATTGGAGGCAACTGCGGATCCAATGGCTACTGTTGCCCCTTCAACAATCGGAGCAGACCTGTCATTCGTTTTTGTCTTTTTTAATGATTTTCCTTTTTCAATTGACTTCAAAAGGGAACTATTCATTTTTGAAAAAATGAAAAAAGACACTTATGCCATTTTAATAAAAACATCATTGGTCAATTGTCCCTAAATTAACGTAAGGGTATTAGATTTTAATTAACACCATTAAATTTAATCAAGGAAATTTCTAGAAGCATCGGTAACTTAAATCCATCAAATCGTTGATTTTTTGCTCAAATGAAGTTCTTGCACTTTATCGTTCTCAATCTCTTCATTGTCACCTGCTTGTTTGCTGCGGCTACGTTTTCTTCTGCAGCAGAGGCTGATATCCATAACTTCCAATCTAATGCCAAAGATCTTCTTTCCATATTTAGCAGATCAATCTACAAGAAGCCATCAGATTTCATTAGGGAGCTCCTTTCCAATGCTGCAGATGCCCTTAACATTAAAAGATTGTCATCACTTACTCTTGGCGGAGGCTCCACCGAAGAATACAAAGTTTCGGTGATTTGCAACCCCATCAAGAAGGAATTGATGTTCATTGACACGGGATGTGGTATGGACGACGTAGATATGCGAGCAAATCTTGGCACCTTTGCCAAATCGGGAACCAAAGAAAAAATGCAACAAATAAAGGCAACAAATTCCTCGACCCATTCAGAGCTTATTGGTCAATTTGGACTTGGGTTCTATTCTGCATTTATTGTTGCGGACACGGTTACTGTTGTTTCTAAAAAGCACTCTTCTGACGGTACAGCGCACAAAAAATATGTGTGGAATTGCAATATTAACGATGGAAATTATACGATTAAAGAGATTAAAGACGATGACCCCTTGGAGCGATCGTTTCCCATCTCTAGTGGCACCAAGGTCATCCTCCACATTTCCGACGAAAGATTGTTGAGAGACATTTCAGATGAACTTGCTGATGATGAGCAGGAAAAGCTTGACTTTCTTGATCCCGATTATTTGAAAGAACTTATCATCGAGTATTCTCAGTATATCTCATACCCAATCTATTTGGTTTACAACAAAACAGTTACTTCTGAGGTTCCATTGGACGTGGAAGAAGAAAAACCCTCAACACATGATGAGGAGATTAAAGTTGAAGAAGAGGACGATGAGTCAAAGGCCAAAAAGACCACCAAAACCGTCACATCTGAAGAAGTTGTCACGGAAAAGGTAAACATACAAAAGCCTATTTGGGCCGATTCTTCCTCAAGTGTCACTGCTGAGCAGTATAACACCTTTTACAAGACCACATTTAAGGAATCCTCTGATCCCATAATACATCAAAGAGGATCTGGTAGCATTTCGTTGAAAACATCGGTGGACTTCCAATACCTCATTTACATTCCAAAGACACCCTCATTTCAGCCATTTTCTGGCGAAGACATCCCCAAGTTTCTCAAGCTTTATGTGAAGAGAGTGTTTGTCACCGATGAGTTTGGCGAAATGTTTCCCAGATACTTGTCATTTATTAGGGGGGTCGTTGATGTAGAGGATCTTCCATTGAACGTGTCTCGTGAAAGTTTACAAGACCTTACGGCGCTCAAATCGGTCTTCAAATATCTTGCTAACAAAGTGGTTGGGCTTATTCACAGTCTGTCAAAGAACATCACGGCGTACGAGCCGTTTTATAAGCAATATTCTGGCCACATCAAGCTGGGTATCATTGTTGAGAAGGATCAAAAACGCAAGGATTCCCTGGTGCCTTTGTTGCACTTTAAGTCGTCCCATAATGTTAGCGGTGTCTTTCTGGATGAATATATCTCAAGAATGCCAGAAATGCAGACCGAAATATACTTTGTCACCGGCAGTTCGGTCAAAGAAATGCGAAAGCTTCCCCAAATTGAGATGGCCATAAAGAAGGGCTATGAAGTGCTGTATTTGGATGAGTCCTTTGACGAATACTTGGTCCAGGCCACTCCCACCTATAAAGGAAAAGTTCTCCGCAATCTTGCCAAATCGGGCGTCAATCTTTCTGACGAGTCTGAAAAGCAGAAGCTAGAAGAAGCTCAAAAGAGGTTCAAGCCATTGACTGCTCATATGCAGAAGCTTTTTGCATCCACCATCGAAAAGGTGGTTGTATCCGGTAATCTCGACCGTTCTCCCGTTGCCATTAGTGCCTCTGCCAATGGAATTTCTCCGCAAATGGAAAAGCTTTTAAAGGCAAACAAGAACGATTTTATGGCCCAATACTATTTGGGGCAAAAAAAGATTCTTGAGATCAATCCGGAGCATCCTTTAATCCAGTCAATGTTGGATGATGTCGTTTCCGCCTCAGAGCCCGTCGAAGAGTCGGACAAGAATATGAAGTTGCTCTACTACTCCGCCCTCTTGCATTCCGGGTACGAAATATCCAATCCTGCCGAGTTTTCCCAGGCAATTGAAGACATGCTGCGTTCCAAATATGGACTGAGCTCTACAAGCAAACGTGAGGAAACCCAGGAGGATTTATTTTCTCAAAAGGAAAATCCCATGTTTTCGTTCCCAAATATGGAGGATTTTGGCTTAAATTCGGAAGAGGCCGCAGAAGCCAACCTTGACGAGAAAATGGCTGCTGAGTATG